CATATCGAGGGGAATGGGGACATTTTTGAAAAATGCACTGCCTGGACTTACATGAGCTTATGATCAACATTTTGAGCAAAATTTAGTACTGTTTAAAAATTGTGTCATTTCATTGTAGTCACTGGATATTTCCATTTCCTGTATCTACAGTGGTAAAAGTGATGAGTAGATTTTCTCAACAATTTGATAAATCACATAATTTCTCTGCTTGGAAATTTGTGTTCTGTTTCTTATTAGGACTCAAGATAAAGGATTATCACAGTCTTTCCTTTCAGCACAGACATTGAAAACTCAGAATTTATTGTGTAAGTCTTCTGCAGTAGGAAGAAGGTTAAAAATATGGCTACAAGGGACTCATTACCGACACTAATTCGTACAGTGGTGACACTACGTAGTTCCCTCCCTACTACCAAGTGCACACAAAGGGAAGGTGATTAATCCTATTTGTGGAAGGGGAGGTGGGGAGATTGTTTTTAAGAATGTCATGCAGAGTGGGTAGTATTTGGAGAAAGCTTTGATGGATAAGATTTGCCAGGTAGAAAATGGCAAAAGGATATTTTAGATAGGGGTAATAAGAGGAGTGAAAATTCAGAGAGAAAAAAAGAATGTGTATGCTTGCTTACAGAAATCCAGGTAACCTGCATTTACAGAGTAGGGCGTGTGCTGGGGAGTGAGAGGACATGGATCTGACAGATACGCCTGAATCCCAGTTTAGACAAGTTTGTGAGGGACTAGCTCCACCCTCTAAAAAATGAGGAGTCTTCCTGGCTTATAATCAGAGAGGGTGGTAAAAGATATACACTATGCAGAACAGAGTGCAGATTGAGACAGGTAGAGAAGTACTAAGGGCTCAGACTTAGTTCCTTATCTTTACTTAAAATGAATAGAAGAAAACCCCAAGAGAGTAAGAATACAAATGCTCTAAATTTTTATTTTATTTGTATGAACCACAAAATACGGACATTTTAGTCAGTGATAGATGGGAGGATATCAAAGCCACTTAGAAATATTTTCTAACACCATTTTTGATTTCTTATTCCCTTCCTTTCTTCTGCTTATGATACGTCTGTATCTTAAAATATATGTATGTCTTTTTGTATAATTGTGTCTTATCACAATAATTGTGATTTAAAATTAATGACTGTAATAAATTGCAAAGCATATATCCAATAATAAAACTGCATTATAATAGCAGTTTACAAATTTCATGGTTTGAAATTTCTAGGGAAAGTGAATAGAAACATTGAGTCAACAATCTGATCCTATTGTAGTAGGTTATCACTACACTCTTCATGTTCAAAATAGGGTCTACACATGTGACAGAATGTCACTTTTCTAAAAGATCGTATGAGAGAAGTTTTGCATCCCCAACACATTTAAAGCTAATAGAATTTCCTTTTATGTAACATTCTTTGTATTTGTGAAGCCTATATCTATTTTTAGGTATAGCCTCATTACTAAAAACCCAGGGAAGGAAAATCCTTGGTGAAATACCACAGTATTTTGAAATGACTTCATTTTTGGAAAATTTTTAAGGCTTACTGAATATGTAGGACAATTGATCAAATTGCCTAATGTGGGCATTAAAGATGAAATATAGGGTATTACAATAAATCTCATATGGATTTGAGTTAGTCCAATTAGAGCAGGCTAATCAGACATTTGGAAAGCAATGTACTACACATTGATTTTCTTTGCAAGAGGTATGGCATCTCACCATTTATATCTCCCAAACCTTGACACCTAATTACTATCACTTTTGTTCTTTTGATCCATATTTTTGTATTCCTTTTAATGAAGCAAACTCAAGTGAAATATTGATTACTCAAGATGGTCTTTAAGCTTGAGTTTGAGATATCTGGATTGTTATCTGGAGCAGTTTATTGCAATGGTCTGAAGAGTGAACTCAAATCACAGGTAAAGGGAGATTACGTGAGCCCTGCCACAGCTTTACCCAGTGTCAGATTCAACGTGCATGCGTGAAGCTGTAGACAGAAGACAAAATCAGAAATATGGGGCACAGAGTACCAAAGAGTTTGGAAAGTGGAAAAGGAGGATGGTTGAGGGAGAAGCATTCAGTGAGTAAAGTCAATAAGGTTTCATCCTCCTAAATGTTAGTTTCTTGGCCTGACTAAGGGTAGGCTTAATGGGCAAGTCCTGGCTAGGCCCATACAAATTACAGAGTTGCGGATGAGCCATCGTTAATCTTGGGAAATGTTCGTGTCCTCTATCTCCATTTCAGCTCTGGCAGTCCTGATGCTGTTCTTGCCTTCTTTCCCCCTCCCCCTCCCCCTCCTCCTCCTCCTCCTCCTCTTCTCCTTCTCCTCCTCCTCCTCCTTCTTCTTCTCCTTCTTCTTCTTCTGATAGAAAGGAATAGCTTCTTTACTCTTAGGTTTCATCAACTGCTGCCCGACTCCTCATCCCCCTTGGGAAGGCAGGTATATTCAGTATGCCTGCTGTATTATGGTCTCTGCTTAACCCTTTCTTAGTCATCAAGTACATCAAAGTAATGGGTACTAAAATGTGGGAAGACTATGATATAATTTTAATATTGTTCAGTGGTCGGAATAGAACAATACTGCATATTACAAGATAAACAACCCTCTAAAATATTGTGTTGAGAAAAATACCCCAGAATGATCATTTTATGTGAATTATAAGATCCTGACTATATAATCATCACAGATAAGGGACATGGCTTACAAGGGCAAAAGTATGTCAGTATGGGTACCTATTCAGGAAGAGGAAAAATATTTGGGATGGAGGATGAAGGGCAAATCAGGAAACATGAACAGATAGCTACACACACACACACACACACACACACACACACACACACACACACACACCGATAATAACAAAGTGCCATGGAATGAAAAGTGAAAATCAAACCACTTTGCTGCAGCAGCTCTCCTAGTTGAATGAATGAATAAAATTAAAATCAGTTAGTGAAAGTCTAAAATCTGCTTCTTTTTCCCTATAGTTTGACTAATCAGGGAATTTTGTGAAGAGAAACCATTTTTGTCTGACAGATTCTCAAATTTATCTAGTGTGATTATCAAGGTGATATTTCTATTTGAAATGTCCTTAGAATTGTTTTGAGAGATCCCTCTCTAAAGTATTCATGGGAAGGCACCCAGGATAGTAACCCGGATCTGCACAAGGTAAAGCTATGAGGCCAAAGAGAGTGTATCATGGTGGGTAAAAAGCTAGTCACAGCATTTGCTGTTCCTCCCCTCCTGGTTGGCTATGTGGCATAGACAGAGAAACACAGTGCCAAGAAGTGAGAAAACATGGATCAGGAGCCTCTGGAGAGAGACTTTTCAATATTTTAAACCACTGATGAAAAATTGACATTGTTTTATTAGCCTCTGTTAGTTATTAAAGACTGCCCATCCATTTATCATGCAATAAAGGAAGAATTTTGGCTGGGTTAACTGATAGCATTAAACGATGTAATTACAAATACTGAAAAACAAAGGAGACAAGGGCAATGGATCAGGAAAGCTCTGAGAAACTACGGGACGCATCTGAGAACTGGGAGGAATTTGGTACAACTCCACTCTGTCATTAAGCCCCTTCCTTACTAAGCTGGGTGTGATGATACCTTCAGACGCAGATACTGGAAGGTTATAAAGTCCTCTTGGTGAGGAGCAAGTTTCCATGTGGAAACTGTCTTCTCTTAGTAGGAAATTGTCAGAAATCTTAGTTCATGCTAAGGACTGAAGGGCTGAAATCATATTATCTAAGCACAATGTGTAAGAAAGCCACTGGTTTTTTAGCACACCATGTAAGAAAGCAATTGGCAAATTGACATCTATAAGGTAAGAAAATTACATACAGATAGTTTCATAAAATATTATAATGGTTATAATGTTTAGATAATAATGGCTTTAAAGATTCCTTATTGAAGTTGGAGGAAACTAATTATATAAATATCAGCTGTTTATATTACTAGAACCAGAAATAATAAGATTATTATGATATAGCTCCATACATTTTATAAAATATGCTTACTTAGGTCGCAGTATTTTAACCTTAACAATTCTCCAAGATAAAGAGGTTTGATTTTCCATTTAGAACTTAGGAAACTGAAGTTTTGAGTTGGTTCCTTTAATCAGGTCTCACCATTCAAAGTGTTTGAAGACCACTGAATTAGTGGGATTATGTTTCTAGCTCTGATATGGGCCCAAGTTTCTTGCATTGTACAATAATGTATATTATTATATTATTATACATAATAAAGACAGTAGCTCTGTCTGTCTCAGCTCTGTTAACTCCATCCTTGTTCGAAATATCAGGTCCATTATATATAGTACAAAGGATAGATAGGTTATGGTTTAGTATAAGGTGGTCAGTGTCTGTTGTCTTCCTTTAGGAATTTGGCTGTGAGCACTAGAATAATAAGATCTCAAGATCTTTCTCTTGAAATTTATACAGATGTGTGCTTCCAAAGAATGGGGACTACAGCATAAAATTATATGGAATACCACTACACATATACCAATAGAGATGACATCTCATGTATAAATAGAATGAGAGTCCCTTGTCTAAATGTGTAAGCAAGTCCGGCTATTTGTTATGTACAATGTGGGCAATTTTGGAAGCTATGGGAAGTGTTTAATGTTACCAGGACATGTTAATGCACTCAGGCACCATTTAATGCTTGATGTGTTTTCCAAATGTGCACAATTTACTCCCTGGTGGTGTTTTTATGATGTGTAACAAATTTCCCCAATGCCAACTGGTTGATTTCCCAGTAACAGGAGCTTTTTATTCCATCTTGCTAGGATAACCCTCTGGCTGGGCCTGGACTGTCAGAAGGTCAGCCTGCTTCCTCTATAGCTCTGAGCAGGCCACCTTGCCCATGGCCTTCTGGGCAGAGGCTGCCTTATGAGATATCCTGTAGTTATTGGGTCCACCTGATTTTTTCAGAGAATGTAGCCCATTTGGCTATTAAATGGACTTAACTGATGCCGTATTCCACTGTTTGTTTCTAGCCTCTGGATTTTCCTGGCTCATGTACCTGCTTCTGCTCAACAATGCATGGATGAGCCCTAGAACTTGACCAGGCCTCTGTAAGTATCCCTATCTTTTTCTCTGGGGAATTTTGATTATGTTTCTCAAATTCTGAAATGAACCCAGCCAATCATTCTGTATGTGAGAATAAATTTACATCTTATAAAGATAGCTAAGAAAATTTGAGAGTCTAACTGCCGAATGTGTTAGAGTGATCATCACTAAATTGAAAAATATTGTGAGGTTATAGTATAAATGTTATTGTGTGTGGATAAAAGGAAAGTTCCTGTGGCCAGGATTCTCATCTGCCACTACACAAGTGTGGGCAATACATTGTTAGTGACTCTATATAAAGAGCTCTGCCCAGTGCTCTGGGTGATATGGTGGCAGGGTGGTAAGGTTGCAAGGCTGCAGGAGAGCAGAGCAGAGGATGGAGTGGTGGCAGCACCGAGGACAGAGACTGGGATGGCTGTGTGGGCAGAGAGGCCCAGAGGCAGAGACCAGCTTGCTGCATGCAGACTCTCTCTGAGTGAATGGGATTCTAGTGACTGACCTGCTACCATGGAAATAAAGTTGGGTATAACCCTTTCACCCCAAGAATGTTCCACTGTCATTTCTTTGGTCACACTGAATCCATAGTGAACTTGCCTGGGGCAGAAACCCATTGGCAAGGCAAATGCATACAGATCTCTTGGCAATGCATGTATATCTCTTGACATAGTGATTGGCCTGCCATGGCTACTCAATTAACTTTGGTAATTTTTTTCCATTTGTGAGAAATCCCCTCAAATGATGAGATAGTGCTATGGAAAATCCAGAAGGTAGAGTTATTCTTCACTGAATTTATTAATACTTTAGTTGATATCTATGAGTATAAAATTATATATATCATTTTATATCTATCTATTAATCATCAGTCACTAGCTAACTAGCAAAACAAACTATACAGTTTTTTGGAGCAGGGGTTCACCCTCATTTGCTTTGTACCGGCTCATATTCCAGGGCACAGGAGAAAGTCAAAAGACATGTAAATGTAATAAAGGAAGCTTTCCAGAATCATTTTTTTCCCCATAAAAGAGTCTTCATAACCCTAATGTCCCAGTCTTCTGGGATCTCTCTGCCTTACATCAGTCTTATTGGTACATCCATGAGAAAATTGAAGGCCATCCTTCGGTTTTTCCTGGAGTAAGCTTTTAACTGGTGACATGCTTGTCACATTGGATATTATTCTAGGAGGCCACAGCCCCATGCATTATTTTATCTTTCTGTGAGGTCTTGTACTATCTCCTGACTTGGACCCAACATCCGCTTTTTTGTTCTGATTAATTCCTCCTTTCCTGGTTCATAACCATGGCCACATAAAGGTTTCAGGTCCTTGCCTGCCATAAGCTACTGTTCTCAAGTAATAGCAGATGAGCAAGTGCTTGAGGACATGACATCACTCAGCAATACGGGCTTATGAGTTCCTGTGAGTAGCCTGGCTTTCAGCCTTCTTCATTGGGCCAGAAACACTCAAGAGTGTCCCAGTCTTTTCACTGTGTCTGATTTAAGCAAGTCTTAATAAAATGAGCTTGTTATGTCTTTTCTGTCTTGTTAATATGAAACGACTGTAGTAAAGAAGTTGTTTTAGGTCTGGCAATAGAGAAGACATTTTTTTTAAGTCTAAAGCCTATTTAGTTACTTTAAAAATCATAATAGTTCATCTCTTTAAAGAAATTATTTTTTAATTTAGTGGTTATGTGCAGGCCATGTTCCATGCATTCTACCTATATTAGTTAATTTAAACATCATAACAAACTTGTGAGGTTGATGCTTTACTATCTAGTGTAAAGATGAAGAAGCCAAGGATACCCACCTAGAAGTTGATGGAGATAAGATTTAAATGGAAGCAGTCTGGTTCCAGAAAATGGACCCTATAAACAACAACAAAGAGTTCAAACACAGTAATACATTTTCTAACAGCGTGTAACAAATTCCCTTTTATTTTCTTCTGGAATTTAAACACCGTCAAATGATTAACAACAGCTTCATTATTCCTTTCTTAATTTACCTCAGTTGAGAGCTGCCTTGCAAGGAAGTCCCTGATCATGAAGTTATCAATAATGAAAGCTTTCTTTTTGGTTTTCTATATAAGCAATCTGAAGCAATGTTCCTCTGATATATTTCTTTTGGAGCTCCTTTTCCTTCTGAAATTCTATTCTTTTGAACAAGTCTTTCCAACTGTATAATTGTCTGTACAATAAATCTTTGTCTTTACTTCCTGCTTTTTTAGTGGTTACTCAAAATCTGATGGCTTCTTTTGTTGTCATTTAACAATTGAAATCCTGAACTTATGTAAATTTTTTTGCAGTAAACTACTTTAAATTGGAACTTGTGATAAATACATTTATGAGACATTTTTAAAGGCTCCAACTAATTTTTACATAGAAACATCCTAAATACAGTAACTCTTCCCCAACTTGTTAGTAGGTAATTATTAACTAAGTACCACCAATCCTAACTTATAGATGGACGTGAAAAAAATCACATTAATTTTAATAACCCAGAAGTCTAGTCTTCCAAATATATGTGTAGAATTTCCATTGTAGGAATTCACACACTTATTATCACCTGCAATAACAGATGGCATCCATCTACTCCTTTTCTCCCTGTTCTGACTCCTCTGTGAAGCTGCTAGAAGCGTAACAGCAATATGGGTGGTGGCAAAGTACCTACTCAGAATATTACAAGGACATCAATGTGCACATCAAAGGTACTATCCAGGGATGTGCCCAAATATGCTCACCCTTGTAGGGCTGGAGATGTGCTAAATTCTGTGTGGACAAGGAGGAACTACCTTCTCTCCAACTCTGTTTTACCCTGTGTCACCTCAGTCCAGAAACAGCAGTATTTCTACCCAGAGTCCCTTAAAAATAACCTCTTTTCAGGCCCATCATGTCATGAAGAGATTAAGATGAGTTCAAGTGGTTGGGCAGGTAGCAAATGCTGGGCAATAATCTCCATTTCTTTCCATCAGTTCTTTTTCTCCTGGGTCCCTGTATGAAAACAAATGTTAAAGTACCTCTCTCAACCTTCTGCTAAATCCTTACCCCCTTGTCCCTGCACAGGGAGTGCTTGGGACCAGATTGGCAGTTACATAATTCTACTCAGTAGAAACTTTATTCCAGGATTTACTTCTATTTACTTTTCTATGGCTGAGAGCATTTTGGTTCCACCAAGTCATGACTCATTCATTTCTGTGGGGGAATAATTGGAAAAAAAAGAAGCTGGAAATAGAAAAGGGAAATAAAACAGACGATAGATTAAGAATAGAGGATCTTGCAGTTAAGTCTGGGCACTATAAAGGTCAACCAGAGTGTTAGATTTGCATTCCTGAGATCATTATTGAATTTAGGATGTTCTGTGTAAAGACACACTGTAAACAAGTTCTGTGATCTAAAGTCATCCTTGGCTGAGCTAAGATTCTATAACTCTGTGTATTGGGGAGAGCTGCTGAAAAATACCTTTTGAGCATAACTGAGTATATTAAATAAAGATAATCCCAAATTTTCCATCTCAAATAAATTATTATTCATTTTCAGGACTCTGGGGGAAATTACAGAGGAAACCAATAACTCAAGTGGGAGCTTGGGTTTGTAAGACGAAAGAGAAGACAAACCATGGGAAATTTCCCAAGGATGGGGTTTAGGAAAGGAGATCAATAGGCAGGAGGAAGAAAAGAGAAGGGAGAGAAGAGAAATTGAGTGGGGAAGGGAGTGGGAAGATGGGAAAGAGAGAGAGAGAGAGAGAGAGAGAGAGAGAGAGATCTTTATGAGCCAGTTGCCAAGATGCACAGCCAACCCTTCTGTAGTACATGAGGAAAAATTAAGTTAATGTTAAAACTCCTGGTGTTTCTTATGCTCATCTCCTCAGTGAAGATCCTCCAAATTCTTCCTATATACCTATTGTACACTTTCCATAATCCTATCCAATTTATAGGAAGAATACAGAATCCAAAAGCTATATTTTGTATCCCTATAGGGGAACTGGTGAGGCATAATGCCCTTAGGAAAAGTGATGATAACTGTGACCTGATCATCTTATAAGGATTTCAGTGGCTATAGGGCTGTGTGTCATTCCCTTTCTTTCTCCCCAAAATAAACAATCATCCCTGAATTTATACCCCAACAGGTATGAGAGAGAAGCCATGAACTAGAATTCTCCAGTAGCAAGAACTATCTCTGCAAGACTGAAGAGGAGGCCCCAAAACAACTACTGATGGCAGCTATGGCACCTGGCAAGATGGTTGGCAGTGAACAGCTAGAAGCCCTAGAGAAATAAAGGTTCATAGGTGACTAAATTTAGTCAAAGTGATGGCTGAAAACCCAACAAAAGTAGCCAGGTGTTGGAGGGACTAAAGTTTAGAGGATGGTGAAGTAATTAAATATTTTATGAGGACAATGGTGGACATAAATCCTTTTGAACATCGCAAGGAGATCCAGGTGCATGACAAGGAGATGTCCTGTCTAAAGACATCCGTGGGCATTTTACCAGGGAGTCCCACTGGGTAACAGGCAGAGAGACAGGCTTTGCTACATCGTTATGAAAAGCCGGAGGGAAGATTCTGAGGAAAGTCTTCACAATAAAACTAAAGTTAGAGACTGTATATTCTCTCCTCAAGCCTCCCTGGCATGTGGCCACCCACAACTATTTGAATGAAGGGTGTCACTGAGTGTGTTATTTGGAGCACTAGGCATTTAAAGCAGTTTTCCCGTCAGTCAACCCCTCCCTGCTTTGTTCCCAGGCAGTTCCCTCTTATGAAACAGACACTCCCTTAGGCTATCTTCCTGAGATGGTAAAGAGAAAAATGTCAATTTATAGGCAGAATATAGAATCCAAAATCTGAAAGGGATCTTAATGAATTTCTAATCCAAATGTCTTAGACAAAATTCTAGCCAGGAAAAGGTATTTTTTTTTGTACAGTGTTACAGTTAAACAGAGAGTCAGCCTGAAAATTCTGGTTTCTTGTTCCAGATTCAGGATAATGTCCTCTACCCGTTGTCTGAGAAGTTACGAAGGAGTGGAGTGCAAAACAGTGTGAATGGAAATGTTTTTGAGACCCTTCTGGTATTTAAATTTTCTTCTTGTTAAAATCCCCCTGGCAGGGGTGTAGAGAGAGGGCACCGAAGGGCGGAGGGGCCGCGCCCCGCTGCACTGCGGATGCCACACTGCGGGCCGCCGCTCGGAGGCTGCCCACCCCGGCAGGGGGCGACGGCGGCGGGCGGACAGAGGGCTTTGTGCGGTGGGCGCTGTTGCCCGGGCGACGGTGCAGCCCCGCCCCGTCTGGCCCCGCCCCTCGCGCCGCCGCCCGCCCAGCCGCGGTCCGCAGGAGCCGCCGCCGCAGCCGGCCGCCGGGCGGGAGTGTGGTGCCGACGCCGGCCGCGAAGCTCGGCCCTCCGTGCCTGTGCGTCTCGCCGCCTCGGTCCGCTGGCCGGGGCCCGCTGATCAGCCCGCCCTCCGGCTACCATCCGAGGCTCCCCGGCCGCCGCAGGGATCCTCCCACCGGACCCTGCCGGGCTGCCCGTCCTCGTGTTCGGGCCGCTGCCGCTGATGCCAGCTGGCGGAAGGCTGGCATGGAAGGCGATGGCTCAGACTCGCTGATTGCCATTAAGAATATCGAAAGAGAGCTCATTTGTCCTGCATGCAAGGAGCTGTTTACCCACCCGTTGATTCTCCCTTGTCAACATAGTATCTGTCATAAATGTGTAAAAGAACTCTTACTGATACTTGATGATTCATTCAATAATGTGGGATCAGACAACTCCCATCAGAGCAGTCCTCGACTTTGGCTGCCCTCCCCTAGCATGGATAAAATGGACAGAATTAACAGACCAGGCTGGAAGCGCAATTCCTTGACCGCTAGAGCAACTACGTTTCCTTGCCCTGGCTGTGAGCATGGTGTGGATCTTGGAGAGCGAGGAATCAACGGCCTATTCCGAAATTTCACTTTGGAAACTATCGTTGAAAGATACCGGCAGGCAGCCAGGGCAGCCACGACCATTATGTGTGATCTTTGTAAACCGCCATTTCAAGAATCCACAAAAAGTTGCATGGACTGCTGTGCAAGCTATTGCAATGAGTGCTTCAAAATTTATCATCCTTGGGGAACTATAAAAGCTCAGCATGAGTATGTGGGCCCAACCACTAATTTTAGACCCAAGGTTTTAATGTGCCCAGAACATGAAACAGAGAGAATAAACATGTACTGTGAATTATGTAGGAGATTGGTTTGTCATCTCTGTAAATTGGGTGGTAATCATGCCAATCACCGTGTGACCACTATGAGCAGTGCCTACAAAACCTTAAAGGAAAAGCTTTCAAAGAATATTGATTACCTTATTGGCAAGGAGAGCCAGGTGAAGAGTCAAATTTCTGAACTAAATTTGCTAATGAAAGAAACGGAGTATAATGGAGAGAGGGCTAAAGAAGAGGCAGTTACACATTTTGAAAAGCTCTTTAAAATTCTAGAAGAGAGAAAATCATCTGTTTTGAAAGCAATCGATGCATCTAAGAAACTAAGATTAGACAAATTTCAGATTCAAATGGAAGAATATCAGGGACTTCTAGAGCACAACGGACTTGTGGGGTACGCTCAGGAAGTGCTTAAGGAGACGGATCAGCCCTGCTTTGTACAGACTGCAAAACAGCTCCACTTCAGACTACAGGAAGCGACAGAATCCTTGAAGAGCTTTAGACCTGCTGCTCAGACTTCTTTTGAAGACTATGTTGTTAATACCGCTAAGCAAACAGAACTTCTGGGAGAATTGTCCTTTTTCTCTAGTGGAATAGATGTGCCAGAGATCAATGAGGAACAGAGTAAAGTCTATAACAGTGCTTTGATAAACTGGCACCATGCAGAGAAGGATAAAGCTGATAGCTATGTCCTTGAATATCGGAAGATTAATAGAGATGACGAAATGATGTCTTGGAATGAGATAGAAGTGTGTGGCACAAGTAAAGTTATTTCAGATCTCGAGAGCAACTCTAACTATGCTTTCAGAGTAAGAGCCTACAAGGGCTCAATCTGTAGTCCTTCCAGCAAGGAATTGATACTTCATACGCCTCCAGCTCCAGTTTTCAGTTTCCTCTTTGATAAGAAATGTGGATATAATAATGAACATCTCTTGCTGAACTTGAAGGGAGACCGTGTGGAGAGTAGGGCTGGATTCAGTCTTCTGCTCGCGGCAGAACGTATCCAAGTGGGTTATTACACAAGCTTAGACTACATCATTGGAGACGTTGGAATCACAAAAGGGAAACACTTTTGGGCGTTCAGCGTAGAACCGTATTCGTACCTGGTGAAAGCAGGAGTTGCTTCCAGTGATAAACTGCAAGAATGGCTCCGTTCTCCCCAGGATGCAGTGAGTCCAAGGTATGAGCAAGATAGCGGGCATGACAGCAGAAGTGAAGATGCCGGTTTTGATTCTTCACAGCCCTTTACGTTAGTTACCATAGGCATGAAGAAATTTTTTATACCCAAATCACCTAATTCTTCTAATGAACCTGAAAATAGAGTTCTTCCTATGCCAACAAGTATAGGGGTTTTCCTTGACTATGATAAAGGCAAAGTGAGTTTCTATGACATGAATCACATGAAATGCCTCTATGAGCGCCAGGTGGACTGCTCGCACACAATGTATCCAGCTTTCGCATTAATGGGCAGTGGGGGAATTCAACTTGAAGAGCCCATCACAGCAAAATACCTACAATACCAAGAGAACCTGTAGTTGAAGCATCTGATATGATTTAGGATGAAAAATGTGAGCCAGGTTAATGCCTTCATGTTAACTTCCATAACTAATTACATACCATCTACATACCTTGTCGCTGGGCTTGTTTTTTGTGTATGTTTCTTAAAACAGAACTTAAAACAGTCGTGTTGCCTCCATGTCATTATTCCGCCTTTGAAACGGTAGGAGTAAAGACACTCTCCTAAGCAACTCTGAAATGGTTAACTTTGCAACTGGATTGTCTTTCTTTTTTTAGGAACAGGAAGTCTAATTTCTTTATGTCAGCTGGTATTGCTGACACTTAAATTCCTTTTCTTCAAGTGCGGAGGGGATAAAAAAATATTTATTATGCTGCTTTTGTGTTTGGTTTTTCATTTTGATATCATGCTTATGTCCTAAGAGAAGATAAAAAGGCCAGTATATTTAAGTGGAAAATTATCTATTTTAAGGTGTGTAACTAATATGAAGAGTAAATTGCCTGGAAAATGAATACTGCTTTTTTTTTTCCCCTAAGACCACAAATTGTATTCTTGAGGACATTTTTAAGAGTTCCCTTAGGTATAACGTCTACATGCATGTGTAGCAAACATGTTTTCTCGCAGGAAACAAAAAGTTCTTGGCTAACACATGATGAAACTTTCCATTCTATGTAACTTTTTGCAGAAAAATTGTCTTCAATTTTTCTTACTCTATGAAAATATTTATGCTTATATCAAGTAACTATTTTTCACAAATATTAGTGAAGATACACTGATATTTGATATGTTTGTTCTTTTTGCCCTCTTATTGTGTCTTATGATTTTCATTTTTTGGCACAAATATTTCATATCAGATTATCTTGGTTATGTTTACATGTTTGAAAAGTTGATGTATTTTTAGTGTCATTAAATATATCAAACTATGAAGTAACTGATTGTATGACATTTTCTATGGTGCATTGTTTAATAATAATTGTAATATAAACAAGTAAAAATACAATTTTAATTGTTCAGGAATGATAGTAAAACCATACTGACTGTCCACCCCTTTAAAAGTTAAAATTCTTTAAGAATTACATTTCATTGAAATTTTACATTCATTTCTGAAAAATGTTCTTTCTTGGTTTTTAACTTAGCTTATTGTTTTGAAGTTAAAATGCTCATAAACTACAGTTATATACTTTATAACCAATCATTTTGAAATGTTTTTTCATATTTTAATAGATTAATCAAAACTGTTAGGTTTGTTTATTTTTTATTTATTTTTAATGGAAATTTGTTATTCAGGCTAATAGCCCTTAACTAGCCCTCCCTTTCTCTCTCTCCCAACCCAGTAGGACTTTCACGGAGGATTTCAGGGGTAGGTAGGCTTTGTTACTCTCCCACCTATGAATAGCAATTTTTGACTTAGGCTGAACTCAATATGCAGTGTTATGTGGATCATCGTGCAATAAAGCTGCTGATGTCACATGTGTGGTTAAAATTTGAGATTCCCAAGCCTGTGTAAGCACATATCATGTAGACAGTTTAAATGTAAAGCTTTAATAGGAATAGGAAAGCTGTTTAAAACATTGTACAGTTGTCTATAAATTGTTCCCCTGGATTTCTTTAATTTTTAATAAAAATTAAAATGACAAGTGTAATTATTGAAAAAAATTTTTTAAAAAATCCCCTGGCACATATTTTTCCTAACTTTAGCATTGAATCTATGTTGATATTAGGAAACAAATCTTGTTTCGTAAAAAATAAAGGAAAACAAAAAAATGTAAATGAATGTAGCAGAAGTAAGTCCGTGGATTTCTAAATTAACTGACCAGAGACTCCATGGGCTCATATATTAGAAGGTTCAATTGTGAAAAATGACTATCCATCTCTAAATATTTTATGAATTCTTTTACCTAATATTTTTTCCAGAGATGCTTATTATAAATGTGTAGGCAGTGTGCTAAAAAGTTACTACTACTCAGGAAATTCTAAGTCCGGGTGGTCCTCTGACCATGTATATGAGCTGGCATCTGTGATTGCTCGGTCTCGAAAGACACAGGCTGTAGTGTAATTCCATGTTACTGTGCATGCTATTCTTAGACTCCTATTACACTGAGGTTCTTTGTAGTAGTGACAAATCTGTGATTCATCAAGATGTCATAAAAAAGATGAAGGATTTTAGAAAGCAAAAAGAATGTGGTGAACTTTGAAAGAATATATATATATAAATGGAATAAGAAGGAAGCCTCAGGATTTTGTGATGAAATCCATCTGAAAACATTGGTTTACTCTTTTAACCTTTTGTTGCACAAACAGCTAGTTCTAAGGGCCTTGTCATTATGTGCATAAGTATTTAAGTTATGCTTAAATTCAGGACTGACTAACGCTGAGTTTTATTGAATGTGCCAGTCAGTGTCCCAGTATGAAATAGAATTCCATTCAGAGGTGCAACTCAAGATTTTATTGCAGGGACTGCTTACAGAGGTGTGGGCAAAGAGTGAGATGGAGGCTACCAAAGATAAACAACCCCTGGGCCTGAAGGAACAAGGGGAGAGAGTAATGTGCTGAAGTTTGGTTAAGAAAGCCATGATTAAGGGGCCAACAATTCTTAGGGGCCGTGAAGAGATGCAGGCAATGCCAGAAAACATGGACCGGGCCACACACACACACACACACACACACACACACACACACATTGTGTGTTGGAGGTAGGGGTAGAAGTGTGGTCCTAGGGAAAGGCAGTAGGAAAAATTATCCCAGTCTTTTCCTTCCCCACCTTTGATCTCCCACTCATGCCTTCCTTTGGCCAAAACTATTGGAAACCAGAAAGCGAGAGACCCGGGTAATACATTATCTAAGAGTTTACTGCTTGAGGCACACAGCAAGACAGAAAGATGGTGGACAGTGTATCTAGAAAGAGAGAGAATGATCACTGCAGTCTAAGAAGTTAAGAGTCACATAGCCCTCTCAACTGATGCAGGCCACTAGCAAGATGATGAACAATGCCCCTATGGATGCAGCCACTCTAGACAGGCGAACATGTTCAGAACACAGCATGACAATCTGAATATGGACTAATCGCTTCTGGTATACTCTTTATTATTTGTGAGTGGATGGGTGAGCTTAATGTGAAGGAAGTCTGTTAGTAGCACAAAACTCAAAGGTGTGTTCCTGGGGACAAAGCAGTAAGCAGACCATTGTTGAGACAGACAAGATGCTTTGTTCTCCCACTAGCTGAACTGTGCGACCTGCCAACCTCATTTCTCTGAAGATCAGTTAGCATGCTGTGAAATGAAGGGGCTTGACTCTAAGAGAATCTGGATTTACAATATCATGAGTTATTTTATCAGTTTCCTTCAAAATCGTGACCCCCTAGATTATTGGAGATTAACCTCCCAAAATATTAAAGTTATGTCAGTTTATTTTTGTTTCAGTTGTCTAGACTTTGGTGTCATGCTAGATTCTGCCTTTGACTTTCCTGCTGTTTATCACCAAATTCTGAGTTTTCCTCCTCTCACCCAGGTTTGCCCTTTCTCTTCTGTTCTGATGTGATCCAGTCCCTGTCACTTTACACCTGGAGCACCAAAGCAACGTCTTTCTGGCTGGAACCATACATCCTTCTGATGCTGAATTGTTACGAAGACAAGAAAATGGTTAATGGACTCTTCATAGAATGAGAATGATTGGTCACAAAGTAAGCACATAAGAGATGAACTAAAATACACATATTTTGATTTAAATTCAACAAACCTTTATCATATACTATTATACTGAATACTATATGTTGGGGATGAGACAGTGAAAGACAATGAAACTGTCCTTATAAGGCCTACATTTCAGCTGTTGACAATATGTAATGGGTGGCCTTTGTTTCTTTTATAAAATGCTAATTGTGTTGAAATACAGTTTTTTTAAAAAAGGCAGCATGTCTACTTCTTCATTTTACACCATGTGAAGAAATTCCAGTACATGAAAACTTACACACATGCTTTTGTTTCTACTGGAAAGGAAAATTATATTTTAAAATTGCTGCAAGCATTTTATTTGGGCATTTTACTACAGAGCATTGAGAAAATGAAAGTAGGAAAAACTTAAGTTAGCTTTGCAAATCACCTGAAAGTGTTCAATCTGTAAATACACAGTTTGGTTTGTAAAATGAACATCATCTCGACCCATATTCAATTCTATCCTGTTTCCTAATTGCTTTTGCCCATCTTCTGTTGTTTTTTCCTCACAAGGTTAAAAAGACCACATGCTGCTGTCTTCACACAGCAGCTTCATGCACAAACATAAATTTCATTTTAAAAAGGCCAACAAAAGATAAATAAGAGGGCCAGCCAAATATATTGTGTTTTCATTAGTTCCATTACCAGAATTCATTAGAATCCACTGCAAGATTACTTTTAAGACAGTTTTTTTTTCTGTATGATACCAAACTAGACATACTTATTTTTCACAACTGATCTCATTTAAATTTGAGTAATTCATAATGATGTTGGAATAGATTACATTAAAATTATGTGCATCCTTTCAAAAGATTAGAAAAAAACAAGTTGACTGCTGAATTTATCAGAAACTTAAATGGATTAAGGAACCATAGTTTCTGAAAAACAAGGAAATAAACTAAGCTTTACATGGGTATGATTTGGTTAACGTCCCAAAGGCCTCTTCATTTGGAAATAAACTTCATTTTAGTCAGCATTACAAGGGAAGAAACTTCTTCAGCAAAATTGAATTTTCTTACTAACTGAGAATTTCTATTTAAGGAGCGAATAGTTTAATTTTTATTATGGATAACAGTGTTTCCCAAATACATCATACTCTTATGACTTGTTAAATTGAGAACACTTTATACATCATTATGAAATGGCTCATGATTATGAAATTAATGAGTATACTCGGCTATAAATACATCTTCAAGAACTATTAATACAAGAAGGGTTACTTGCTCCTAAACTAAATGTCCCCAAACTGCTATTATGTCTGAATGCCTCCATTTGTGTTTCAAAAAACCTTTTTTTCTAAATTTTTATTAAAATTTTCAAACGTTTAGCAAAGTTGAAAAGTTTTATAGTAAACACCCATAACCTATACATGCAGAGTCTAGATTCTACTATTAACATTGTACTTCACAGTACAATGTTTTTGCTTTATCACACACCTGCATTCACAGTGTTTTTGCTTTATCACACACCTGCATCTGTCACTACCATCTAACAATCCACCTTATTTTTTGTATTCATTTCAAAGTAATCGCAGATATTTGTATGCTTCTCGGCAAATAATTCAGCATGCATATCACTAATTAGAGTTCAGTATTTGAAAGGAAAAATTTATATAATGACATACAAATCTTAGGTGCACAATTGCTGAGTTTTGACAAATACAGATACTCATATAAATCCAAATCCTATCAACATTTCATTTTGTATTTATCTTTTTTATTCAATTTTTAAAATATCGTAGTAAAATTCACATAAAATTTACCTTCTTAACTGTTTTTAAGTGTAGAGTTTAGTGGTATTAAATACATACAAAATGTTGTACCACCATAACCACCATCCATCTCTAGTACTTTTATATCTTGAAAAACTAAACCCTATTAAACAATAACTTTCCCTTCACCTTTCCCCTCAGCCCCTAGCAACCACCATTCTACATTCCATCTCTTTAATTTTGAGTACTTTAATTACTTGATATAGGTGGAATGATACAGTGCTTGCTTTTTTGTGACTTATTTATTTCACTGAGCAAGCCCTAAAGGGTTCATCCATGCTGTGACTTGTGCCAGAATTTCCTTCCTTTTGTAAGT